GCTTAGCTTAAGCGTCCCTTAAAATCCATGGCAACCATTGTCTCAATAATCGTTGCCATGGATTTTAAGGAACGCTTAAGCTAAGCTCCGCTTAAATTTGTCGGTGCAAACGGGCAGTCACTCGAAACAATAAAGGAAGGTAAGTAATTTTTGCGCATGCATTTTCTTTGCTTTTATATAAAGCCGGCTATAGACACATAGGTACATTCCTAGAGATATGTACGCGCGTTATTATTCCATTAAATTAATATGTGAAAATCGATTACGCTGCAACAACTATTTCTTCAGCTATTTCTTTACCCATTTATTTACTTACCCAAAAATTTACATTTTGTTTATTCAATAATCGATTTTGTTTCTTTTTTATTATGCACACACACACGCCACTACTAATAAATTTAAATCGTTATTGGGACCTACTATAGAAATTTGGATTGTATTACCCGATAAATAAGAAAGTTGCATTTTGGGCATGCGTGGCACTATTTTTTGCGCATGCGTATTGTTTGCCTTTTTTAGAAGGACCTACCATATATACACACACACAAATTTTGTGAACTTTGTGACTTTTTCCCAAGGATTTTGATGCCCAAATAACAATTTTAGCATATGTTAATCACAATACACGTGGTCGACAACAATTCATTAAATTTTATATCTTGAAGAGAATGATACTTGCCCCTTACACAAACGTGGAAAAATGATAAATAATAGTTTAATGTGAACGTTCCAAGTCTATGGTTAAGACCGATAGAGTAATAGTCAAAGAGCCAAAGACTGCCACACTTTCGTTATTTTATAAAAGCTGAAAGCGCATGCTTCCAACACAGGTAGGTGTATAAATAATAAATGTGTATAAAATACCAACTTAATTAGGTATTTACTTCAAATTGTAAAGAGTAATTTTCTTAAGTATATTCATTCATTCTCAGACACTTTGTATCGTGGGAAACTCTTGTCAGATAGACTTCAACTTAAAGAAATTATTACTAATTAATTAATTGTACTTATGTTACAGTGTAAAAGCTAAATTTTATGGGTACAAGTTTCTTGGGTAATCGTGAAAAACTGCCCGATTGTCTGAGGAAACATCTTTTAATAGTTACCCTAGTAACATGAATAAAATTCAAATTTTGTAATCAAACGTATAAATACAGATACATTTTCTTGAAGTTTAAAGATGTTTGGCAAGGGTTGCCACGATATAAGATGTTTGAAAATATTATATAAAAGAAAATTAGGTTTATAATTGAACATACCTAATTGGGTTAATATTTTACACATCTTTGATACCACTTATCTACCAAAGTACACAACTGCGTTGGAAGTAATGCGCTGAGCAACTATTAAAGTAACATATGTCTAACAGTCACAGGATCTTGCTGTATAAAGAGACAAGGACGTTAGTCACTCCCTTGGATAACAATGCAAGTAAAATAATTCACGGTTTTAAAATACAAATTAAGTAATAATTTATATTTCGAACATTCTAACCGTGTCTGCCAAAAAATCCATTGACACCATGCAAAAATAGGTTATAATGCATACACATGCACAGACTGGAGCATTCAGTCTAAATCTCCTTAAGCAACATCCATCGTTAACTTGTTTGTTTGGTCCGATATTAAATGTGTCGTGCCAAATCGTTCCAACCGAATGCTCCAATCAGATACCTACATGTCTCGAGTCGCATCGAATTATGACCGTGTCAAAATATTTTCAATCAAAGTAATATTTACTACTTCTTAGTATACAAAGTCGCAACAATTCATTTTGGAAGTAACTTTTACCCGATTGCATGAATACATGATTCCACACGTGTCAATCAACCTTAATATACGTTCAAAGATTTCGATCATAAATAACAACGATTTCTCATCATCAACGTAATTTTCAATCTGACCTTCTTTCCTAATCCGGACGAGGCCCCCGAACACCGGACATCTTCCCGGACCGAAGTCGCACCGTCTTCGGAATCCGTACTCGAAGCTAAAAGAATAGTTTTCGTTATTCTAATAATAGAATCAAATTTACACGTACCCATTCTACGAATTTTCGCAACATGAGATGCCAGTGCCGCTCCGGTTAAAATCTTCTTCTTCGGCCCCATACCAATCCGGAAGGTGTAACCTGAAATACTTTTAGAAAAAGATTTTTCAATTTCATTCTCATACATATGTGCTAGAAATTTGTTACTTACAAGAAAAATTAAACGACCAAAAAGAGTACGATGATCTCGCGAAGATCGAAATTCCACGAGGTGGAAGAATTTCTTCGAAATCTACAAAAATACGTGTCGCCATAAATTGAATCGTATACCGTAATTCATTTACCAATAAAATATACAATTAAAAACGATATAAATGGGCCGATGGACGTAAATGAAAAATCTTGAACACCTTCTCAAAGACGAAACGTGATCGCAATGGATGCCCTGGAATTACAGTGTTGCCAACCTAACTAAAACACCAATTATGGTAAAACTTTCATGGAAAAATGGCACAATGATGTTGTATAATGGTATACCATGTGCAATCTTATACAGGGTGCTAAAGTTAAGACGTTTTAGCTAAATGAAAAGTAACTTTAATACGGTGCTCTTATAAAGGGTTTTGTGTTCAAATTTTAGGCAACACATCATGCAATGGCTGTTTAGGAGCGTGCAAACGATCGCTCACACGCACACGAAGGGCTTATTCTTATGCTACCGTTACATCTATGTAGATCACTGTAGTTGCGAATCCACACAATGTAATCGTGTTTTGTCAACCAAACAAACAGTAAACAACTGAAAAAACTAAACTTGCTTTGGCAATGCTTTGGCGTACAAGAGAAGAGTGGATCAGGACTCGGCAGTCGGCACTCGGCAGTGGCTGTGGCGCACCGCTGCCCGCATTTACTTAAATTTGCACCACCTGTCTCCACTTAAAAATTAATATCCACTTAAATCTCTTAAAAATGTTACAAAAAATGGTACAATTTTGTGAAATGGTACAATTATGCGTACCTCTTGCATTACAATGGAAACTGGTACACATACTTCGATAATGGCGCATGTACCATTATAATGGTACGGTTGGCAACACTGCCTGGAAATGAAGTGGCGCCACCGTCCTACATCGTACGCTTAGAGAAGGAAAGAGTAGTCTAAGATCGTACGTCGGTTAACGTGCGTTCGGTAATCTTCGTCGCTTAATGCGGTAGAAAAACAAAACGAATCGGACAATAAATTTCCAATTTATTTTTACAATAGAATTTGTAGAAAATGGGGTGAGTAGAGCGAAACAAAATAAAATCACCGGTATCATACCGAAAAAACCATATTGGACACAATTTTAGCTAGTCCTTCGGTCCTTCCTTTATTATTATAAAAGTTTGAAATACAGTTTAAGAAGTTTAAGAAATGGGAACGTTAAATTGTGGGATTTTTTTAAGAAATGTAAACGTTTTCTTTTTATTATGGAGACACCACTAATCTCTATTTAATTTTTATTGAGATCAGTGGAAGACACGCAGTCTGCCATTTTATAATACAAAAGGTGTGTGTTTGTGTGTTTCCTTTCTAATTTTTATTAATAATCGTGGTAAGTATTTTTTGAATCACCTTAACGATTGATAGTAACTTATTATATTTATCAACATTTGTAGTGATGGAATTTTATTTGGGAGACAGTATATTAAGAAGGATGTTGGCAACGGTGTGCAAACGGAAAGTTCGGTGGATGCACGGCAAGCGTTTGGTGGATTTATGTATCGGGGGCCAAACTATAACGCAATTAAGACGAAGAATCGAGAGGTCGCGTAATGCAGCTTCTAAATGGTTTGTGCCACGGAATGTTCCTCTGGTTATTTTGATTGGTACGAACGATATTTCAAGAGGCGTAAAGGCTTCCGTTGCCATTAGAAATTTGAAGGGGTTATTACGTACCTTAAGGAAATGGACGTTACAATATCGAGCCCTGCTGTGCACCGTTCCTCCCATGATCCGTACTGGGCAAAGCGTACAAATCGAATTGTCCCAATACAATGCGGCGATTAGAGATATATGCTCTAATCGCCGTGATGTTTTTAAACTTATCGATTTGTACGCCTTGTTTCAGTGCGAGAATGTGGAACGTATATTCGAACGGTAAGTTTCATATATGATATTTTGTATGTGGTATTAATTTGGAAAATTTCAGTGATGGTATACATCCGAACGCAGCAGGGTTGAAAAAAATATACCGTGCCATTCGAAGTAAGTTGAGTGCGTATATGAGTTATAATTGAAAATAAAATATTTATTTTTATTGTAGGTACGTAATAATCGTTTCAGATTTATGATGGCAATTGAAGACGATTCGCCTTTTGAAATACGTTATACAGGGTTATTACAAATAATGTTGATAATTGCAAGCGTGCATTAATCTAGTTTTATTTATCATACAAAGAAATAAGATAGATACATTCTTAGGAAAAATATTTAGTATATTATAAACATACCAATCCATTTTTATTTTCAATCGAAATCGATAACATCATCTATCTGTAATAATCCTGTATTATCAAATCATTTAGTTTCTGCTTATTCGTTCTTCCGATTCTTCTTTTTAATTGAGTCGAATTGCTGTGCATTCGCCTGTCAAAGTATTGCATGGCATGCCGTTGTTAACATCAGGTAAAAAAAGAAGGTACCTACTTTTTTCATTTGTAGTAATTTTCATTTTTTTTTGTAGATTCATCACCTAACTAATTTCAACCGTCTCGCTTCAAATACTTAAGTTAGCGCTTTTACCCGGTGACAGATTACGCAAATGACATTCTGTTGGAAAGATTTCAATTTGCATCCTTAAGTATACAAGAAGGAAGTGTATAAGTGTTGCTTTTTCTATGTAATTTTTATTGCAAAATAATATTGACTTTACATGTTTGTACAATTGTATAACATTTTTTGTTCCACGTCTGTCATCCAGGCATGTAGTAACTTTTCATTTACCTATCTCAATGTCGAACAAACGCTTTAAAAAATTCTTCATTTTATAACATGTGATTTTTATTAATATCTGTATTACTAACTTAAAGCTATTGTTGCTAAATGTAATTAATTTATCATTATTTTCATATGTTGTTGATGCTGTTGTAAATATAATTTTCCGCATCATTTATGTAGCCTCACGACAAAATTATTTTTATTTTTGGGTATTTGATTTTTATTAATATCTGTATTACTAACTTAAAGCTATTGTTGCTAAATGTAATTAATTTATCATTATTTTCATATGTTGTTGATGCTGTTGTAAATATAATTTTCCGCATCATTTATGTAGCCTCACGACAAAATTATTTTTATTTTTGGGTATTTGATTTTTATTAATATCTGTATTACTAACTTAAAGCTATTGTTGCTAAATGTAATTAATTTATCATTATTTTCATATGTTGTTGATGCTGTTGTAAATATAATTTTCCGCATCATTTATGTAGCCTCACGACAAAATTATTTTTATTTTTGGGTATTTGATTTTTATTAATATCTGTATTACTAACTTAAAGCTATTGTTGCTAAATGTAATTAATTTATCATTATTTTCATATGTTGTTGATGCTGTTGTAAATATAATTTTCCGCATCATTTATGTAGCCTCACGACAAAATTATTTTTATTTTTGGGTATTATTCATGTTCATTCGAATCTAATATTGCTTTGTGTAGCTTAGAGGCAAATCAATTTTATTTTTCGATCATTATGTTAACGGCAACGTTTATTTATATTGCACTCACTTGAGCTGTAGCTATATAATTTTGTTCTTTTTTTGAAAGCTTCTATGTATCTGTTGGGACAATAAATATTATTATTCAATTTGAATTTTAAAAGCGTATATATCAATATTTGAACTTTTTCGAATGTGAGATTATCAAAAATTATATTGTAGTAGGTACCTATATAATAACAAATTGTAAATTCGAATAAATTTATTTATTTATTATCCCCCTTTTGTTTTGGGTTCTCGAAAGGCATTCACCCAATTACAGAGTGACCCGCATAATACTATTTAGAGGTCTTCTGCAGAAGGTCTTAAGTTGTTTTATACTACTCCGGTATTTACCTTACGAATTAGGAAAACCTGATTCGGAACACCCGACCTCCGGTTTTATAGTACAGTGCTCTACCACTGAACCATAAAGCCGATCAAGTACATCTCCGCATAAAATCCATGGTAATTAAATTTGAAATCGGGTAACCGTTAACTTATTTTTTGAACATGAATTGTTACAACCCAAGGATCATCAACGAATTACGAGGAAGGTTTTTTAAGTTAAGTTGATCGCTATCCACATATTCATTGCGAATTTGATTTATGGATCTATATCAAATCAAAATAACATAACTTTAATTGTAGCATCGATGGATGAAGGAAGTAAGCCAGTTTTATCGTCTCGTCTACCTACGATCGACTTATTATTAAAACCAATTTACCAAAAATAGTTCGTCTCTTTACGTTTCGAGTAAGCCACCCAAATATAACGATCACACCTCATATTACAAACTTTTACAATTGCTATTAATTATCTTCTCCAGATGATGAATTAGCGTTGGCGTTATCAATATTATTAAACCAATTTGTATATTTTGTTGTAATACGCCCTGTATATAAGGTAGTATAAAATTTGTTCTTTATAAATAAAATCTTCTTTGACAAATTGTGGACTGTCTGTCTAAAGGCAAATTTTATAAAAATTTAATGCCTAACCTATAATTATTATAGTAAAATAAAAATGTACCCATGGTAATACAAAAAGCAAAGTTTGGAAACGATCGCAAAATTATTTATTCTCTTGATTATTTCGTTACGTGGTACGATTTAAAACTAACTAGAAAACTTACAGGGAAGAATTCATGTCAAATATACTTCATAAACTTTGAGCATTCTAAACTGTTGTTTCGTAGTGATATGTCTTTTTGGCATAGTATTCTCAATGCAGCGGGAGGCTAATGGAAAAGTATCTTCGTGTAGACAGTTCCATATGAACCAATAACCCATCTACCTGCCGCAGGTGACGTGACGCTTGCGGTGTAAGTTGACATTTCGCAAGTGGTTCTGTCAACAGTATGTCTAAACACCTGTCGCACTCCACCCTTCGACTTATGGATATGTCAATGAATTACTGAGTCGACGTGCCAATTGTCCACCATAGATTGCTCCGTTCTCAAACATGTTTGACGAACTGAGATCAACGGTGAATCGAGAGGTGTTTTAACGGATAGAATTGCATCTTTTTTGTAACACATTTTAAATTTAAATGTAAATGAAATAAGGACTAGGATATGGTAGTAATAATTTTTTTAGATTTGATGGTTCAATTTATGTGGCCTGTACGAGACAGATCGGGATAAAATCTCAACACGTTATATAATTTATGTATGTTTATTTATTTAAAGTAATAATTGAAATGAAATGTGAATGTATTGCCCCCTTGTGAGGGGGCATCTTGACGCG